GCCCATCACTCACCGTAGTCCTGTTGGCAGAACCTCCGCAGGCCCATGTGTACCCCGGTGCCCGAGACATTGCAGTAGTTGTGACACTGAGGGTCTGGGGAGGGTCGGGCTGTCTGCCGTGGGCTCCCGAGGCCGGGACCACAGCCTTCTGTCCCTGCCCAGCCCCGCATTCCATCTTGATGGGCAGCTGGGGTGCTCAGACCCCAGGACTGAGCTCAGTGGGCCACCCCCGTCTCCCCACTGGGGAGCCCCATCAGCCCCTCTTGCTGGTGGGGGTCTCCACGCCCGCCTGTCTTACCGGAGCTGTAAGCACTGGAGGTCGTCGCCAGGGTGGTTGTTGCCTCTGGGATTCCTAGGAGAGACCGGAGGAGAAATTTGACCTTAGTTCCTGCCCCCCTTCTCCCCACCCCCCCCATCCCACCCCCCAGGAGTCCAGCTGTTCAGGCATAAGAGGGCAAGCGCCCTTTGCCCTTCTCTCCGGACCTTCTTCCTTCAGACCCAGGAATCTGCACCCCCAGCCCCGCCTCCCTCAGATGGAGGAGTCAGTCCCCACTTCCCCCCGGAACCCAGAGTCTGGCCTCCTGCCTCTTGCTCCCATCCCAGGACCCAGCCCTCGTCCTGCTTTGTCCACTGGAGACCTGTGATGTCTCCTTCCAACCCCACGCAGGACGGTGGCCCTCAGGACTCACGCTGGCAGGGCATCCGCGGGGAGCGGCTCTGCTGGTAGCCAGGGCCACAGCGGCTGCACGTCAGGCCGGTGACCCCTATCTTGCAGGAACATTGCCCACTGGTCTGGTTGCAGGTGCCTCCCGTCGCCCCGATGGGGTGGCACTGGCAAGCTGTGTGAAGAGAGGATCTAGGATATGGGAGGCTGGGCCCTAGACGCTCCCTCTCCGTTCCCCAGCCTCTCCGGCCCCAGACCTGCCTAGGCTGGGCTTCAGGCTGCACTCACCCCTGCAGGCCTTACGGCTGGTGATAGGCTGGTCGGGGTCCCTCCAGAACCCTGGCTGGCAGTAGTGGCAGGGCTGCCCAGCCGTGTGGTGGCGGCATCGCTCGCAGACACCGCCACTTCGGCCTCCCGACAGCCTGAACAGCTCCGAGTTGAACCTGCAGCGGCGGGCGTGCTGGTTGCAGGAACAGGCTGGGAGCGAGATGGGGCCCATCAGACCACGGCTTTCTGTTTCCTGTCCCCAGTTTTCTCCCACTGCCCTGAGGAAATCTACTGAGGCTACAACGTAAAAGAGACTGCCTGGTGGGGGTACCTGGTTAAGCCTGGGTCTCAGAACCTCTTTATTCTCATCTTTAAAATGGGGGCTCCGGAGCCGGGTAAGCCCCAGGGGACTGATGAACCTCGATGGTGTGAAACCAGGGGGCTTGCAGAGCGGTGGCTCTGGCCGTGGGCTACGGAGTCAGATCCTACGTGTTCATGTCCCACTGTGTTCCTTGGGCATTTGACCTCTCCTTTTTGTAGCTCAGCTGCCTTTGCTGTAAAATGACACTTACAATATCTGCTTCGTGCAGTTTAAATGAAACCTAATAGATATAAAGTGCTTAACTCAGGGCCTGAAACACCACATGTACCTGCCTGTTGAGAGCTTCCGCACGCCAGGTGCTGAGTGCCCGGTGTGTGGCATTCTCGCGGCAGCTCTGTGAAGCTGGCGCTATCATCATTCCCATTTTACAGATGTGAAAACTGAGGCACTGAGAGGTGAGGGCACCTGCCCAAGGTAACTCAGCTGAGGGGCGGTCAGGGGCAGGATTGGAACCCAGGCCTTCGGTCTCCTACATAGGTCACAGGATTCTGTGAGGACTGTGGACATTGACCCGGGAGCCTTGATCAGGTGTCCGAAGGCAGTGGCTCTCAAATCTTACTGTTTATCAGGATTCCCGGGCGAGACATTGAAAATGAACAATGCAGATTCCAGGGCCCAGCCCCGGGGCTTCTGCTGGGCCCAGGGGTCTGTATTTCTAGCAAACACCCCAAAGTACGATGCTGATGTGGGGGTCCGTGGGCCACCCCTCGGAGCAGTCGGAGGAGCTGTGGACGCCAGGAGGGTGGAGAGGCTGGGCTGGCAAGTCCGAGACCCAGAGGGACAGTGGGAAGGTCATTGGGGTGTCTGTGTTCTTGGGGAAATGACGCTGCCTCTCTGAGCCTCGGTTTCCGCCCTGCTCGGTGGGGATCTCAGTTGGTAATCAGGCAATTCGTGACCTTTGGGTTCTTTCTGACGGGAGGGTGATCGCTTCACCTCACTCCCCTGTGGGGAACTCAGGTGGGGAAGGGGTTCAGGCCACCACTTCCTGAACCCCTTCCCCACAGGGGTGAGTCCCATCCTGTCTCAGCCCTTCTCCATCACAACAGTTGGTCTTGTACTCGGGTGCAGAGGGCACAGCCCAGCTCAGCCTGGTGAGGGCGTGGGGGGGTGGGGGGGGGTGATTCGCAGAGGGACAGCCTCCCCCTGCTCCCAGGTTCTTCCCAGGCCCAGGATGAGCCCCGCTGCACCCCAGGCCATGTTATCTCCCCTCCCTCACTCAGATCTGGCTTGTGGGAACGGATCCACTGAACAGAGGCCCTGAGGTGGTGGGGGCAGAGGGTCAAGGAGGACCCCCGTTAGGATGAGGATAGAGTGGGAGCTGAGGACAATGGACAGTCTGTAAGTCAGTCATTGCAGGAAGAAACAGAGGGTGAAAAGGGCAAAGCACGTAGGAGGTAGAGGGAGGGGCGTCCAGGGAGTTGGAGTGAGTGTGTGTGTGTGTGTGTGTCTGTCTTTGTGCCTGGCTGTGTATCTCTCAGTGGAGTGGGGTCACCTCCCAGGGCCTCAGACAGCTAGCAAGGGCTGCCAGCTGGAGGTGGGAGGAGCAGGGGGGCTGTCTCTGAGGAGGGGCTTCTGCAGGGAAGGGAGAGGGGGCCAGACTCAGAGCTGCAGTCTGGGAGCACGAGGCGGGAGAAGGCGCCCAGCGGGCCAGGGGCCAGGCCCGGGGAGCGCTGGGGCCGGCCCTCGCTGGCAGTGAGACAGGGCAGGTGATGGATGCGGGCGGGCCTCGGCTCCGGGGATGGCAGCATTGGCAGAGACCCCGCAAGCTCTTCCTCGGTGCCAGGTGCCCCAGGAGACTCTACTCCAAGACAGGGGTGGGGACCCTTTTTTCTGCCAAGGGCACTGGATATGTGTAACATCATTCGCGGGCCATGCGATATTATCGACTTAAAAACCGGCCTGCTATAGTTGGCAGACATTCAACGAACTCATCCCTGATGCCTTGGCAGGGCCGGACCCAAGGATTTCTCAGGCCTTAGGTGGCCCGAGGGCCGGACGTTCCCCACCCCTGCTCTAATGACCCCGTGTATGAATGAGCTCGTTGAAGCTTCACTGCCGCCCATAAAGGAGATACTGTTACTGCCCCCACTTTACAGATGGGGAAACGGAGGCAGAGAGAGGTTAGGCCACTTGTGAGGATCACACCAGAGGAGCCGGAATGCGAGTCCTGTCTGCTGCCCGAGGACACAGTGACGGCGCCGGACAGGAGCTTGGCAGGGACAAGCCAAGACCCCCAGCCTGCTCTGGCCCGGCCACTTACTGGCTGGGTGACCTTGTGCAAGGGACTTCCCAACCCTAGCCTCAGCCTCCTCATCTGTAAGATGGGCCTGATGACAGTGCCTGCCTGGCACGGAGTGGTGACTGCTGCACAATGAACGCGTCAGGAAAGGGCCAGCTGCAATGGGTGCTATCGGAGCCCCTGCAGCAGCCAGGCCCTGGGCTGGGTGTTTATTCGTGTCATTATCATTATCATTGTGATCGAGGATCAAGGAGAGCAGGAGCCCCTATTGGGCAGGTAGGCAGCAGAGAAGCGAGGCAGGCAGCGGGAGGCTGTGGGGGGAGGTGAAGAGGGGACCCCCAGCTGGAGAACAGTGAGGGGAGAAGCAAGGAGCAGGCAGCTCAGGGGCGGAAGAGCATCCTGCCCCTTAGGGACAAGGGACCGTGGGCCTGGTGGTGGGTGAGGTTGGGGAGAGCGGGCCCAGGACTCACGTAGGCAAGGGTGGGGGTGCCAGGGTGTGGCAGGCCGCCAGGGCCAGTCTCGGTGGGATGGGCGGCAGCTCCAG